AAGATGGGGGTTGGTTTTCACTTCTTTTTTTTTTTTTTTTTTTTGGTTGTGTGCATTGATGGAGCTGCTGCTGTGGGCACGTCCTGTGTGTGTGCACTTTCTGTTAACTCATTTAGTTTTGCGTGTCACACAAGTGGGGGTGTGGGTGGTTGGGGGTGCAGTGATTTCTCTCTTTCCCAGAGGAGAGAATGGAGGCAGACACTCCAAGACTCTTCCAAGGCTCAGCGCAGAGTGGCTGAGTGGGGATTCTGAGATGGCTGCTGGAAACTGCCTGCCCTAGCTGCCTGCGACCTCGCCACTCAGAAGCCCACTCTGTGTGTCACCTGGGAGCCAAGACTGGAGCTTGCGTGTTCCTAAGATGGCCTGGCAGATTTGCAGAGCCCCAGCCTGCACGGGCACACGGCCCTGTAAATGTGTGGTGGCTACATGGACATGTCCTCTGGTGAGTTGCTCTCTCATAGATGTTGCTCATTGTTCTACAAGCGGCTTGTTTTTCCTCCCTCCCTCCTTCTCTCCTTCTTTCATCCCTCCCTCCCTCTTTCTCTTTTTCTTTCTTTCCTTTTCTTTCTCTTCTGATTTGTGAATTTCTTTTGCTTCTGTTTCTTCTTTTTTTTTTTTTGCCCGGAACCACAGGTTTCCTCGTAGTATCACACGACAAAGCCCAGTTCCTTGGGGCCCCAGCCAGGGTCCTGAGGCAGTGAGGTGCCGTCTTTTTCCCTGTGCCCCAGACTCTGCTGAGTCCCTTCCTCTCGTGTAGCAAAAGGTGGGGGGTCTGCTGAGGATGGGTTGCAAGCCAGGAAAAGGGAGGCAAACAGACAAGGCCAGGAGGGCCGGAATTGGCAGGCGTCTCCTGCCTTCATGCCAGGGACTGCAGTGGCAGTAGCTGGTTTGGGACCTCCACCAGGCTGGACTCACGGATTTCATGGGCCATGGCCCAACTTGCCCATGCCAGAGAAAGCTTGTAGAAGCTGAACACCAGGTGGAGTTTACAGATTTTGTGGAATTAGTTGATTTCCATGGAGTTGCAGGTGGCTCCAGACAGGGCAGGTTGATGTCCACACAGGTACAGAAGTCAAGACTGACTGACACAGTGTCAGAACTGTGAAGCTCTGGAACATGGCGACCCCTGCCAGGACCCCAGCTGCCCTGGTACTGCAGCGAGGGACACAGCCCCAGCCCTGACCCTGCAGCAATTTCTTTCTTCACTCTGTGCAGTCTTCTCTCCTGCCTGGATTTGGGCTCTGACCATCTCTTTCTGCCCTGTGTCTGAGGGCCAGGCTGACTGTACTGGGGTTGGACCGGCTGAAGCTGACATCAGCAGAACCCCCGCTGTAGTCAGGCCTGGGTTCTCAGTTGGCGTCTGCCAAAGTTGTACCTGTTAGAGATGAGGGGGCAGTCTTGGCCTCTACATTTCCTTATTTTGTGAGCAAGGACAGGGATCCTTTAAGAGCTGAGGTTCCACGAAGCACTCTGTACACCCTTCATAGTGGGCTGCTGTTTCTAGAAGCCTTGGTCTGTTTCCAGTCCCAGAGAACTCTCCTGCAGGGCGGGCTGACTTATTAGTTCCAAGTGGTTCAAGCACTGGACAGTGCTAAGTGGGCACTCAAGTGTATTGAGCCCATCTGTTTCTACACCTGCTTACAGGTGAGGCCCTGCCTCAACGTCCATCATCTGCCTGATGCTTTCCCAGACGCAGAGGTTTCTTGCTAGTCTCCTTTATTCTCTGCTCTTCCATGGAAACCTGAGGTTCCATCCTGCTTTCCCAGCTGCCTCTGACAAGGACCCCTCGAGGCAGGACTGCTTGAAGGCTTTTGCTAACGTCATCAGCAACACACAGACCCAGCCCAGTGTGAATGATCCAAGTAGATGCTTGCACAGGATGGCGTTGTAACAGCGTTTAATGCAAATGATCCAAATTGTGTTCAAGTGTACTCACCAAAGCATTAGGAAATCAACATGGGCCAGCATTGTGACATAGCAAGCCAAGCCACTGGTTGTGAAGCCAGCATCCCACACAGATACTGGTTCAAGTCCCAGCTGCTCACTTCCCATGCAGCTCCCTGCTAATGTGCTTGAGAAAGCAGCGGAAGCTGGCCCGTGTGTTTGGGTCTCTGCACCCATGTGAGAGACCTAAAAGAAACTCCTACCTCTGGGCTTTGGCCTGGTTCGGCCCAGCTGTTGTGGCCATTTCAGGAGTGAACCAGCAATGAAAGATCTCCCTCCCCTTCTCTATATACTTCAAATACATAAATAAAAAAATATTTTTAAAAAAGCCAAATCGACAGCCATGGCTCCAGTAACTAGACATAATGGCACATATTGGGTAACATTAGCAAGAGATTTTTCTAAAAAAACTTTTATTTTAGATAGTTGCTGATTTCCTTCCACACAAGTCTTCAATTGCTGCTATTCTAACACTGCTAAAACAATTCAAGTAAAAAACTACATGAGGCAGTAAAATATGGTGAAATAATTTAGAATTGGACAAGCAAAAATAATATACTTTTGACATGACAAAATAACATTTTAACAGGGGTTGAGAGACTATGGAAGGGGAAATATGAAAATGTTCACCAATTTCTTTCCTCATGAAGGTCAGGATAACCCAGAGCAGTGTCAGGGTATCAGCAATCCCACGCCTTCATCACCCAGAGAAACCACTGAGATACGTTACACGTGCAAGTATTCCCAAAGATCACTTGAAATCACCTTGAAATTTAGTGTGGTTTTAGAATTGCCACTCCCTGGCGCGGTGGCTATGGTTCTTGCTTTGAACATGCCAGGATCCCATATGGGCACCAGTTCTAATCCCGGAAGCCCCACTTCCTATCCTTGTAGCCTTGTAGTTCCTTGCTTGTAGCCTGGGAAAGCGGTCAAGGACAGCCTAGAGTCTTAGGACCCTGCACCCACGTGAGAGACCTGGAGGAAGTTCCTGGCTCCTGGCTTCAGATTGGTACAGCACTGGCCGTTGAGGCCAGTTGGGGAGTGAATCATTGGACGAAAGATCTTCCTCTCTGTCTCTCCTCCTTTCTGTATATCCGACTTTGTAATAAAAATAAATAAATCTTTTAAAAGAAGGTTTATGTGAAATATACTAAAAAAAATTGCCAGTCAATCTTAGTGTAAAGAGAAGCATGTGTATTTCTTGATCACAAAATCTTGAACATTTTAAAAACTGTATCTTAGTAGAATTAGTATTTTTTGTATTTTCATATTTAGTTTTACATATTTGAAATTATGATTCTGGAAAGGCATGCACAGGCTTTGCAGGTTCAGCATGGAAGACCTGGAATACAGAACAAAATCTGGACAAGTTAGGGACATTACAGGAACAGAGCAGCCAGCATGACACATGTGGCACTGCCTGGGACAGTGAGTGTTCAGAAGAGATGCCCTGACTGTCCTCCACAATCTGCCCACCCACCCTGACTGTGCCAACTAACCTCACAGAAGAGGACATTTCCCACTTTTTTTCCCCCATCACTGTATACACACACTTCCAAACTCTAGAACGAGAAGTCAAGGAAAGAAAGATGACCATGGCCTTTGTGCTGATGCTACCCTTCACACAGGACATGCTCAGCAATAGGACACGGCAGGGCCCAGGGTTCTGCACACTGACTTCCTAGAGGCTGCACGGCAAACCCAGACTTGCAGGGAAAACGCTCAGTTGACCGGTGCTGTGTTTCAACATTTGGCCCAGAGTCAGGAACTGGGCCTGGTGGTTGGGATGTCCTTATCCCATATAATGAAGTACCTGTTTGGTGGCCAGCTCCAGCTGCTTGCTAATGGAGACCCTGGGAGGCAGAAGGTGATGGTTCAAGTCATCAGGTTCTTGCCACCCGTGTGGGAGATCTGAGTAAAGTTCCAGGCTTCCTGTTTCAGCCCTGTTAGCCTTAGCTGTAGCGGGCACTTGGGGAGTGCCCTTCTTCTAAATAATATTAAAATCTGGCCTATCACAAAGAAGTTTGGTAAGACTAGATTTGAGGAACAGCTCTGCTGGTCCACCAGGTGACACTCACATGGAGATCAGGTCCTTGAGACCAGTCCCTAGAGGGCCATCCCATCAGTAATATGGGTCACAAAGAGCCTCACAGACAAGAACTTAAAATGTCAAAGGAAGTGGAGTATCAGCAGAAGCACTATAGGCTGACAGTATGCCTCTGACTCAATCCTTCAGTCCAGTAACACTACTGCAATTGTTAGCAGTAGTGTGCAACTAGGAAGTCCAAGTTTGCAAAGGTTTAAAACATTTTACATTGATTCTGGTGTTATATGGTATCATTCTTTGGTTTAAATCTAGACAGATAAAGGAGTGATAATAAGAGCAATTTTGGCCAAATATCAGCTGTTTTTTTTTTTTTTTTTTGCTAGTAATTCTTTTCCAAAGAAGTTTCCTACTGTCAGAACCAAGAGTTCTCTGAAAATATTTTTACTTAACTAGCTAGCTAACAGGAAAAACAGCATTTCTGCTAAAGACTTATCCAACAAAAATGTATAGCCTGTGCAAAAATAACACAGTATGTGTTGTTGAGAGGCTCCTATGTGCTCCCCTATGTTCCCTAACCATTGTATCACACAGCAACAGATAAACACAGAATACCTTAAATTCTTTCTGGGTTGAGAAGGGATAAACATATGATACGCCGATTCCAGCAGATAATTATTCAAATACAATTTTAATGATTTCAGTTCAACACAACTGAAACTGTAGCGTCATTAAAGGGCATTTCCTACTAAACTTCCAATTACAGGTTCGGGGGCCATTCTGGGCAGAAGCATCACATTCTACTACACATTCAGCTGATGGAGTAAGGTAGACCTGACAGTATCACAGGGAGGGAGGCAAGAAGGATCGGCTCACAGAGTTTGACTTAGAAAGGGACAAACACCAATGCCATCAAGTCCAGTAGCTACAGATATTAGTAAAATAAAAATATAAACCCAAACATCGATCTTTTAAATTACTAGGAAAAAAATAAAGGTAAAGTTACGGCAAATACAGTTTTCATGGATTTGGGTAACTTTATTTGCATTTTGTATTGATTTCTTAAGGCCTATCTCCAATGAAACCATCTTAAAAAGCTCTATGAAGAATGGAAACTTTGATGTCAATTCAGCTGTTCTTAAAAAAAAAAAAAAGCAGCTTAGATCTCTGACTGGGCGAGGTTCACCTTCGCGGGGAGAGGCCCTGCCTCCTCATGATCTTCAGTCTTAGTTCGCATGAGCACGAGAGAAGAGGCTGGATATCGAGTTAGCTTTTGTTCATTCACAAATTCCAAGTCACCATAAATACTCAGTTTCTGCCAAAAAAAAAAAGCAAAATATATTAGCAATTTGACAATTAGGAATCTCTTTAAGTTAGTCTTCAAAGAACAATTCAAAGTTTTCTCTCTCTTTTTTAAATTTTGTCTATGGAGGACAGTTGATCTTGAGTCTGCAGGGAACAGAGCGGCCCAGGAACCTCCCCTAGAATGCACGCACTGACGCAGGCGTCCGAGAGATGCCCTAAGTGATCAAGCCCTTTATGGTCGCACTTCTCCTACTGAGTAGTAAAAGGATTCACTATTGATTAAACACAAGAATATCACATCTTTCTGAAAGAATATCACATCTTTCTGAATGTATTAAGAGCTCTACTGCCTCTCTCCCCGGCCCCTCTCTATTTAACTCTGCCTTTCAAATAAATAAAAATAAATCTTTAACAAGTTTACCACCAAGTATTCTGGGAAAAAACACATGACTTAAGATGGTATTCCAGCAACATCCCTGAAACAAAAAAAATACAGAAAACAAGAGACAGCAAGAGCTGAGATGACTTAGAAAATGGGAGGGAAGTTCCAACAAAACAAATAGATCCACAACCGGAGGGATGCAAATTCTCCTGGGAAAACATTAAAGAACTCAGGTTTATGCTTTTGTTACATTGACTCTAGTCACTGTGCTTGGTTCTACTTGTGAGCATCTGCGTAGTCACAGAACTCTAAACCCAAACTCATTTTAATTTTTCAAATCAACCCAAAAAGCATGGGAGTAAAAAGCGAGCACTTTATTTTACTGTTGAGAATTACAGGAGCTAATGAAAGCAGAGTACAGGAAGGAAGCAATGGGGACCTGCGCAGTGGTGCAGTACGTAAAGCCATCTCCTGAGGTGCAGGCATCCCATGTTGGTGCTGGTTTTAGTCTCACTGCTCCACTCAAAATCCAGTTCCTTGTTAACACACTTGGTTGTAGCATTGGGTCCCTGCACCCAGGTGGGAGGCCGGAGGAAGCCCTGAGCGCCTGGCTTTGGACCAGCCTCTGCAGCCACTTCGGCAGTAAACCAGGGCATGGAGGGGCCCTGTTTCTGTCTCTCCTGGCTTCAGCTTATTTCAAGTAAATAAATATTGAGAAAGAAAGCAATGATAATTTCATAAAGCAATCATGAAAAGTACACAAATATTTTTATACATATGAGCAGGAACAGGATGCCTGACAAAAGTACTGGTTAGTGATGAATATCTGTAACCATAAGGATTGAAGATTTAGGATTGAGCATTTCCAGTTTTCACTGTGAGATTTGGAGTATTCCATAGGTGTTTTCTTCTTGAGGGATGGCTAAGAAATAACTCATCCGTGTATGTGAGGGGTCAGAAATCAGGAAAATCCACCAGCTCTAAACAGACTGAGAATAAAATGCTTGAGTTGTTTTAAGCTGGGTTAGTTAGCATGGATCACGGATCACTGCCAACTACCACTCAATGGGACACACTAAAGCTAGGGCTGGGGGACCTACCGGGCAGGGCTAGGTCACAGCAACCTCGGTGAGAGTTAGAACAGGGTATGGATGTTAGGCTGGTCCACGACACTGACTAGCATGCAAGAGAATCAGGTCTGGAGACTGATTCTGTGGGAGATATGTGGGTCCATCCATGTGAACTGTAATTTCTGCTGGCTTGCTTAAGAGCTGGAGTAGTGACAGGCTGAGCCAAGCATCACCAGAGAACCCTAAGGCACTCTTGGGTACTGGGGCTGGGAACAGGCTGGACTGGTCCAGGCTGCAGCACCTGCAGGGGCACACAAAAATGGTGTGTGGGGCAAGTCAAGCCACAACATCCATCAGCTCATAAAAAGGCCAAGATGGAGGGTGATGAAACTTGGGAAACTCCCCCTAGTGGGCTGTAGCTCCTGCTGGTGAGCATGTGATTCAAGCCTAGGTGTTGGTCAGGCCAGGCAAGGTAGCTCTACCTGCTGGCAAGTGTGGGGGTCCAATCTGGAGGAGGGTGGACTGTGCAGAACCAGGCCAACCTTAGACTACTGGCAGGTGCAGGAGATAGGCTGGCGTGCGGGGCGTATCAGGCTAGGCTATCATGCCCAACAATTTGTTAGCCAGGGATGGGAGTAAATTGGGCAGGGCTGGGCAAAACTTGCCAGGAAGAGTTGGAACTAGGGGTAGGGAGGTCAGACCAGACTGCAGCATCCCATGGTAAAGGCCAAGATGGGGTATAGACTGTACTGAGCTGGGTCAGAGCGACCAATGGTACATGCAAGATCTGTGGCTGGAAGCAGGCCTGGTTGGGGAGCTAAGGGGATGCCATAGGTGGGCTCTGGTTTTCACTGGTGAGCATGGGAGCTAGAATGGGGGTGGGGTGGTTATCTGGGCTGGACATGACTGCAGTGTTCCTCGGCATGGGTGTGGACTGAGTTTGAAGTGCACCAGACTGGGCTAGCCTCCAGCACCCGCTGAAGCTTGTGAGAGCCAGGGTGGATGTAGGCTGGGCTGGGCTAGGTCTGCCCCTGCTGACCTATGCAAAAACTGTGTCTGGGCATTGATCAGTTGTGGCTGGACTGTAGCACCCAAAAGTTAAGAACTGGAATGGGTGTGGGCCAGTTGGGCAAGGCCACTGTTCCTGCCAGGACAGGAGGTGGGCCAATCAGGTTGGGTCAAGGACCTACTGGTTTGCGAGAGATCTGCCACTAGTAAGTGACCTAATAGAGTTACTTGGGGAACTTCTCTGTCAGGACACAGTCCCTGCAGGAAGGCTGGGAACAGCTCAGACCAGGCCAGGTTACAATACCAAGAAGTATATGTGTGGGTCAGTCTAGAGGTGGGCCAAGCTGGGACAGTTCACAACACCCACTGGCAGATTTGAGAACCAGGATAGGGTGTAGGATGTGCTGGGTCAAACTACAACACCAGCCAGTTCACATTAGAGTCAAGACTGGGTGGATGGCTGGTTGGAATAAGCTGTAACACCCACCAGCTTGAGCTGGAACTGAGGGAAGCCAGGGCCAGGTTGGCTTATAGTACTAGGCAGCAAATGCCAAGGCGAGGTGGGCCATGCCAGACTTGGCCACAGGATCTACCAGCACATGCGAGAGCTAGGGCAGAGGGAGGAGGGTACAAGGCTGGTAGGGGGCTGAAGATCTTCAGCTAAGCCACTGCCACCAGTAGTGATCATGAGAGCTGGAACTGGAGGTAGACCAGGCTAGGCAGGCACAACACCTGTTGGCCTACGTGTGAACCAGGTTACGGGGAGAACAAAGCTGGGTTAAGTGACTGTATCCATTGGTGCATGCATGAGCCGGGTTGGTTGGGCTTCACAGCATCATGAACTGGCAAGTAGTGGGACTGGGGATAAATTTTGTCAAGCTAGAACTACAGAATAACCTGGAAAGTGTAAGATCCAGGACTCGGAGTGGGTTCAGGGCTAAGGGTGGTCCTGGTTAGACAGGCGGTGGAACCTGCTGGCATGATTGTGGGCTAGATGGTGGGGTTGGTTGGATTGAGCTAGGTTTTAATGCCCACTGACATGTACAAGAGCTGAATGGGATGTGGGATACACTGGACCAGTCTGCTGTATACTGGAATGCACAGGAACCAGGGCTGGAGTTCCAGAGACGTATAGGAAATTAGTATTTAGAAAGAATGTAACAGCGGCCAACAGGGCCCCAAGTACGCTGTGTATGCTTCTTGATTTACGATCACAGGGGCTGGGAGACAAAGGGGGAATATGCATTCCCCCCAAAGAAAGCAAAAATACAGGGAGAAGGGTCCGGCACAGTGGCCTAGCAGCCAAAGTCCTTGCCTTTAATGCGCCCCAGGATCCCAAATGGGAGCCAGTTCTAATCCCAGCAGCCCTGCTTCCCATCCAGCTTCCTGCTTGTAGCCTGAGAAAGCAGTCAAGCCAAAGCCTTGAAATCCTGTACCTGTGTGGGAGACCTGGAGGAAGTTCCTGGCTCCTGGCTTTGGATCGGCATAGTATCAGCCATTGCGCTCACTTGGGGAGTGAATCATCGGACGGAAGATCTTCCTCTCTGTCTCTCCTCCTCTCTGTATATCTGACTTTGCAATGAAAATAAATAAATGTTTAAAAACAAAAAAAAGGGGGAGAAAATCTATAAATAAAGTTATATAATCAAAACAACTCATCACAGCAGAAACACATCTAAAAGAGAAAGCTGAAGACTCCTTTGAAAAGGCAGGAGAGATCGCAGGTCTACAAGCTCCAACCCTCAGCACCACAGGAGCACTGCCATGCGTGAGCAACTTCCAAGAGGGGCCTCTTTCCTGAGTCAAGTCAGGAGATGGGGGAGCCATCAACTTCTCATCCAGAACTCTTTGCATAAGACAGTTTTGAGCATCCCAACTCAAATGCAGAGCCATGTGGTCTCAGGGAATGTGTGTCTTCCCAGCGTCAGACAGGGCGCCAGAGGACTGGCTTCTGCTGGGAGGCGTCTAACCATGATTCCAGGTTAACCAGAGAGGCTTCAGAGCAAACGCTTTTCCGTGAGGCTGTCTCCGGTCCCGTCCCAGCACTTCCTGGGATATGGGGTACACCAGTTCATGACAAACCCTCCCTCGGTAAAGCTCCTTCTCCCTCCAAGTGGAGGAGGTTAATGGCAGCCCCACACGTCCCCATGAGGCCTAAACGAGCTAACTTAGAAAGGGGCTCTGTGAGGAGTCGAGACAGAAAGAACTCAGGTTGCAGTGAATCTATCAAGCCAAATCTCACTGCAAGGCTGCCGCTAAGTCTACCGCGGTCTACGTGCATCCTTCTTTTACAAGGGGCATCCTGGGAATAAGGAGAAGAAATAGGAATACAAGAAAGGGAATAAAATGTCACAGGTTGTGGGTGGTCAACAAGATTTATCCCCATGGGTCTGTTACCAAGACAAAGTGGACTACGTGAGGCAGCTCACGGGGAAGTTGTGGAAGCTGCATATAGCTTGTTCCATCAGGAACAACAGAATGATTAAATGATGGACATTAGGGAACAGATCAAGTAATGTAGCAAGAGAATCACATCAGTACATTCATATCATAAAAGAGGAATTCTGTAGTATTCTTCCCAACTACCAAAATTCAAAGTTCCTATGATCCAGTCCAACTGGAACCATTTGCTTTAACAGCTAATGTAAGGGCCCAGCACAGTAGCTTAGTGGCTAAAGTCCTCGTCTAGCATGCACTGGGATCCCATTCAGGTGCCAGTTCTAATGCTGGCTGCTCTGCTTCCCATTCAGCTCCCTGCTTGTGGTGTGGGAAAGCAGTCAAGGACTAAGGGCTTGGGACCCTGCACCCATGTGGGAGACCTGGAAGAGGCTTCCGTCTCATGGTTCCTGATTGGCACAGTTCTGGCTGTTGCAGCCACTTGGGAAGTGCATCACTGGATGGAAGATCTTCCTGTTTCTAATCTCTGTATATCTTCCTAATAAAAATAAATAAATCTTAAAAAAAAAAAGTGCTAATGTAAGTCCATTAACTTCCCAAGCAGTTTATTCTTGTCTGCCCTCCTCCCTTCTAGCTTGTATCTTGGCACCCAGGAGGACCTCTACTACATACAAGTCTTACTAACAATCCCCGCACAGTGTTTTCCACAACACTGTATACAACTCTTTTTTAAAGAAATTTATTTTTTAATTGGAAAGTCAGATATACAGAGGGGAGGAAATACAGTGAGGAAGATCTTCCATCCATTGATTCACTCTCCATTAGAGACAAGTGGCTGCAACGGCCAGAACTGAGCCAATCTGAAGTCAGGGACCAGGAGCCTCTTTCAGGTCTCCCATGCGGGTGCAGGATCCCAAGGCTTTGAGGCCATCCTTAACTGCCTTCCCAGGCCACAAGCAGGGAGCTGGATAGGAAGTGGAGGTGCCGGGATTAGAACCAGCATCCATATGGGATCCTGACACATTCAAGGCAAAGACTTTAGCCACTAGGCTACTGTGCCAGGCCCTGTATATACAACTCTTACAATTAACTTTGGCAGTCATAGGTAAGATGGCACATTGTCAAAGCAAATGGGTTTCGGGGGTTGGTGTTGTGGCACAGCACAGTGAGCTGGTGCCCACGATGCTGGTATCCCATGTGAGCATGGTTCGAATACTGGCTGTTCTATTTCCAATCCAGCCCTCTGCTAAAGTGGCAGATGATGACCAAAGTGTTTGGACCTCTGCCACTCTTGTCAAAGGCACAGATGCAGTCCCAAGCTCCTGGCTTCATTGTGGCCATCTGGGGAGTGAACCAGCGAAGATCTTGTTCTGTTTTTCCTTCAGGTTAACTCTGTCTGTAACAGGAAGTTTGCTAAAAAAAAAAAAAGCACACACATAAAACTCCCAAATACTGTTACTTCATAAGGAAGAGCAGGGCACATTGTACTGGAATCTTTCCCGATCGCTGGTGCTGGAGACTGAAGTCAAACTGCGGGCAACGGTCCATGAATGTGCACAGGTCCAAGGCCACGGTGAAGGCCTTGGGTAGGGCCCACAGCTGGGTAATCATCCAAGGCCACAGGCGGGTGCTTCTGAGAGTCACGCTGTCACTTCCTGATCATCAAGCAGTTGCTGGTTAGCAGGAATGTGAGCTGTGTTTATCAAAACTTGTGCCACATCAATCCCTGTAATTTGAATACTCAAATAATTCAATAAAAAAAAAAATTGAGGCAGCAAGCCTTTTGGGTCAGCCTCCTTTCCTTAGAAAAGGGAAGCGGGCCTTTGCTGCTAGCCTTTTAATAACCTTTTCCTGTGTGTGTTTCTTTTTTTCTTTTCTTTATATCATAAAGGCAGATTTATAAAGAGAAGCAGAGACAGAGAGAAAGATCTTCCATCTGCAGGTTCAATCCTCAAAAGGCTACAATGGCAGGAGCTCAGTCCATCTGAAGCCAGGAGCCAGGAACCTCTTCTGGGTCTCCCACGTGGGTTCAGTGTCCCAAGGATTTGAGCCATCCTCTGCTGTTCTCACAAGGCCATAAGCAGAGAGCAGGACTGGAGAACGAGAAGTAGTGTAGCTGGGACATGAGTCAGCACCCATATGGGGCAGTGGTGCTTGCAAGTAGACGATCAGTTGAATCGTCATGCCGGTCTCAGGTTTATTTTCTTAGTTGTACACCGTGTCCCTCCCCACTGTGGTCATTTCGCAATGGGAAGCAATACTGCCTTTCAAATAAATCCTTTTTTTTTTAATGAACTTCATTCTAGCCTCAATACTTTCAAAGCCATGTGGCTTCAGGAGGGTTACTTAGATGTTTGAAGCCGCCTTACGCATTTACAAAGCAGACAATAAAATCTGCTGTAGAATATTGTTGGACACTGGACCGATATATACAATCTGTGAAAACAGGTTGTAAATTCGACGAAGTAGGAAAATGTTACTTTCTGCCATTATTTTGTCCAGTCTCTGGATGACTATCACCTTCATAAAAATCATTAAGCATAATAGTATCTTAATCACTGTTTACATCTGAATCTTATTTATCTTCATAGTTTGTTAGGAAGACTGCTGTTCAAGCAACATGCTAGGCGCAGGCCAACTTACAATGATTTAGTTCCCTTTCTTCTTCTTTCTGTGGCAATGTTAGACAACAGATCTATCCCATATTAAGCTATACAGCTGACTTTTCCTGAAGCTAGATTGAATTACTGAAACACGAACCTGTGCCCGGCTCTGTCTTGGGACAGTTCTATTGTAATCACTGAGTCACAACCATTTCCCTCTCCACAGGTGAGATACCACAGCCTAACAACTCAAAGCCCCTCGCAGGCCGGGCTGCTTCTGTAGCAGTGGTTACTCCTTAACGCTCGTGGGAATTATTTTAAGGTTTTAAGTGGTCCTGGCAGTTCTACTCTCCTAAGTTCCATCTCAGAAACAGACGCCACCACGTTCAGCTCTTCTCACAAAAGCAAGACAAAGGTGGTCAACAGTTACATCACGACGGCAGCCAGCATTACAGAACTGTGGACTGGATATTCCTGTACGGTTAACTGCTCATTTCTACGTGTGCCAACCCAATGACTTTAAAACCACATCTTCTCTTATTCCACCGGCAGAAAGGCCTTGTTTTGTTAGTTAAACAAACAGGGCATTTAAAGGTCAGCCCTGAATGGCCCGAGGGTCAGCAGTACACTTACCTCAGAAGGGACATACTGCTCCACAGCCGTAGCAACGGTAGCACAGCAGATCCAGAGTAGCACCATCACTGACAAGACTAGAGTTGTGGTTAAAATCCACCCAGAGTTACTGCAAAAAAAAAATCAAGAGTCAGTAGCATCAACATTTCACGCTGTAATCAGGAGGTTCTTAAAAACTGAATGCAGGGCCTGGCGTGGTAGCCTAGCGGCTGACATCCTTGCCTTGCACACACCAGGATCCCATGTGGACACTGGTTCATGTCCTGGTTACCCTGCTTCTCATCCAGCTCTCTGCTTATGGCCTGGGAAAGCAGTCGAGGACGGCCCAAAGTCTTGGGGCCCTACACCTGCATGGAAGACCCAGAAGAAGTTCCGGGTTCCTGGCTTCGGATCAGCTCATCTCCAGCCATTGTGGTCACTTGGGGAATGAAACAATGGATGGAAGATCTTTCTCTGTATATTTGACTTTCCAATGAAAAAGACAAAAGACAAAACTAAATGCAATCAATGTTGCCTACTTAGTAATAAAAACCCTGTACTATTTAGAAAACATTAACACAGAAGGAGAAACTAACAGCTGTTATATTAGGGCGCTATGATATTCATTCCTCCATTTCTTTTTTTGTTTTTAATGATTTATTTATTTTCATTGCAAAGTCAGATATACAGAGAGGAGGAGAGACAGAGAGGAAGATCTTCTGTCCAATGATTCATTCCCCAAGTGAGCGCAATGGCCGATGCTATGCTGATCCGAAGCCAGGAGCCAGGAACTTCTTCCAGGTATCCCACGCGGGTGCAGGGTCCCAAGGCTTTCGGCTGTCCTTGACTGCTTTCTCAGGCCACAGGCAGGGAGCTGGATGGGAAGTGGAGCTGCTGGGATTAGAACCGGCGCCCATATGGGATCCTGGGGCGTTCAAGGCGAGGACTTTAGCCGCTAGGCCACACAGCCAGGCCCTCATTCCTCCATTTCTAAAGTTTCTGTAACATGGTTGCATCATTTAAAAAATAAAAAGCAGGGCCTGGCAGGGTGGCTCAACAGGGTAATCCTCCACCTTGTAGTGTTGGCATTCCATATGGGTGCCAGTTCTAGCCCAGGCTGTTCTACTTCCTACCCAGGTACCTGCTTGTGGCTTGGAAAAGCAGTGGAGGAAAGCCCACTGCCTTGGGACCCTGCATCCACATGGGAGAATCAGAGGGAGAGCCTGGCTCCTGGCTCCAGCTTTGCATCAGCTGTGCTCTAGTCATTTGGGGAGTGATTTCAGCAGATGAAAGATCTCTCTCCTCTAATTCTGCCTTATTTTTCAGATCTCTGCTCATCAAACTCTGCCTAGTAAAATGTCCACTCACCACATGCAGCCACTCCCTTGGTTTGCCAACATGTGGAAATGATGGGAATGCAATATGCAGTCATTGCCTCCTAGCAAAGGGTGGACACTGGGGAGTGAATCAATGGATGGAAGATCTTCCTCTCTGTCTCTCCTCCTCTTTATATATCTGACTTTCCAATAAAAATAAATCAATACATTTTTAGAAAAAAAATGTACTGTGCATTTCAAATCTCTAGAGCATTTTTACCACAAACAATGAATGTTAGAGGTATTAGATATGCTAAAAACAATTATCCTGATTCGATCATTTCATCATATTGGCCAAACACCCTATTTGGGGTTGACACTATGACACAGCAGGTAAAGCCTCTGCCTACTGTACCAGCACCCCATATGGTGTTAATTTGTGTGCTGGTTGCTCTGCTTACGATCCAGTTCCCTGCTAATGACCTGAGAAAAGCAGCAGCAGATGGCCCAAGTGTTGGCCCTATGTTCCCATGCAGGTATGAGCTTCCTGCTTTCCGCCTAGCTCAGTGTTGGCCAGTGCACCTACTGGGGAGTGAGCCGCAGATGAAAGGAGCTCCATGGCTTGGTGTTTATTCTGAGTTTCAGGTAAATAAATAAGTACATCTTTAAAAAGGAAAGTCACATTGTAGTCTGTAAAAAAGTAGCCAGCACATACCTTTTAAGCAAACTAAAATGTTCAAAACTAAGTTTCAAGGCCAAAATTAAACACTTTCATTTTTTAACTTAGAGGCTTAAAGAAAGAGCTCCCATCCATTGGTTCACTTCTCCAAATGCTCTCCACAGCCCAGCTGTGAGCAGAGAGTTGAGAATTTGCCCCAGGCTCCCACATAGGTGGCAGGAATCCAATCACTGAGGCCACCACCGCTGCTTCCCAGAGTCTGGCATCGGTGGCAAAGCGGAGTCAGAATCCAGAACCAGGTATTGATCCCAGGTACTGTATGTCTGCCCGGTTTTTCACTCTTGAGCAGAGAATGCAATTTCAAGATAATAAAAAGGAATGTTAACTTTGAGACACAGATTTTATCTCCTACAAATATCAAATGAAATACATACAGAGAGAGGCATCTGAAAAAACCATCACTCTGTTCATCTTCAAGGTAGTTCCTGTGTAATTCTGAATTTCTCATCTGCAGATCTGCTGAAATAAAAAGGTAAAAGTTTTATAATATTCTAAAAGCTAATCTCATGTGATTTACTTATAAATAAAACATATATAACCTCAAGATGGCCAACTGTCATCATAAGTACAATCTGACACATCTTAAACTGCACCTAACTATATCTAGTATGTTGAAAACCAAAAACCAGGGCCCGGCGTGGTAAAATCCTCACCTTGCATACGCTGGAATCCCATATCGGTGCTGGTTCTTATCCCAGCAGCACCTGCTTGTAGTCTGGGAAAGCATTCAAGGACGGCCCAAAGCTTTGGGACCCTGTACGTATGTGGGAGACCTGGAAGAAGCTCCTAGCTCCTGGCTTCGGATTAGCTCAGTTCTGGCCATTGTGGCCAGTTGGGGAGTGAACCAGCAGATGGAAGATCTTTCCTTCTGTCTCTCCTTCTCTCTGTACATCAGACTTTTCAATAAAAATAAATCTTTAAAGCAAAATAAAAAAAACCCCAAGTGCATATGCTACCACAACATGAGTTTTATTTTATTTTCAAATTATTGTCAACACTGATGCAGTTTAATTACATTTGATCTTAGGCAATAAAATTTGGTTTATTCTAATTAAAACAGCCCTTATGTGCTATCATTATTCATGCACCAAAACAATCAAAACTTAAAGTAGCAATTAAAATAAGTGAATTACTGATTTTAAAAAGTTCTGCTTAGTTTATTTTTATGTTCCTGTAAATTAAAATATACATGGCAATAAAATATAATATAAACTTATACTTTTCTGGATAGTTTCACTATTTAGTTGACATATCAGAAAAGACCAGAATATCTGATTAGCCCACACTCAAAGCAACCCATGAAGCAGCTTTCTGAGTGGTAAGTTTCAAAGGATGGGCCCCAGGCAGCAGCATCAGCATCATGGCATCTATTACAAACATAAGCTCATCTGCTCCACTCCGGGGCACAGAGAACTCTGGATTCAAAGCTCTCCAGCTTGTATAGCACATTAAACCCGGAGAACCATTCTGTTTTTTTTAAAGATTTACTTTATGTTTGAAAAGTAGAGTTTGAGAGAGATGGGGGAAGTGAGAGAGAGGTAGAGCGTGAGATGGAGAGAAGGAAAGGATGAGAGAGAGAGCAAAAGAAGAGGAGGGAGGGGATACAGAGGAAGAGAGTCTTCCACCCATTGGTTCACTCTCCAAATGGCACAATGTGCACGACTGGACCAGGTCACACCCAGGAGCTTTTTCCAGGTCTTCCATGTGGGTGGCAGGTACCCAGGTACTTGGGCCATCTTTGGGTACATTCCATGCTACAAGTAGCAAGCTGCATCAGAACTGGAGCAGCCAGGATGTGAACCGGAGCCCACACGGGATATCAGTGTTCCGTGAGGTGATTTTACCCACTATGCCATCCCACTAGCCCCCACTGTTTTAGAAATGATCTGTTCATCTTTTATCACATATTATCTATCAATTCCTATTGTTGTAAAGGCACACACAACCAACTCCACTACAAATAGACTTCACTGCTAATGTTTTTAATCCAAGTTCTTTAAAATAAGACTTACAGGACATTTTGCTTAGAGATGATTCTCTCAAATCTGGAGGCTCCTGCTCCAACTGTGGTGCATACTGAATTTCTGGCTTAGACTAAAATGACAATGAAAGCAATTAAGTCATTTGCACTTCTAAAGCTTTTTAAAGCTTTACATGCATAAACATTTAAACTGAGCTGAGGGTAATGGAAGTACAACATACAAAATAAAACACACCAACCACAACCTATCTTAACTGCAGTTCTTAACATAAGCTAGTGCCTTTACAAGAAACGAAATTTTGGCGTCACCTATTTAGTTAGTTTATCTTCCTGTCCCTGTCCATCAATGACTGTACACTGAGAGTGTGGGTTAAATGCATACCCTATACCAGAAGGGAGCTGAGCATCCTCAGGCTTTGGTATGAGACGGGCATTCTAGGAATCAATCACCCACAGAAATCCAAGGGCAACTGCATACATTAGATGTTATACCAGGGAGCTTTCAAGGAACAGCAGCCATTATTATCATATCAAGTGGTAAATAATATGATAAACAGACAGGAGAAAAGTTCTCTCTAACGATTCTTCAAAAGTTCTTTTATACGACTTAGTATGGAAAATCACTGTGAACAACTAAATATTAGGTCGTGTCACTTTTCTCTAACATCCATGTACTCCATGACTATTTACGTTCATCTTCATTCTTACCTCCTATACTCAAGACTTCATTTCATCAACTTAACCATTCCTTAATTTACAAGACTCAGAAGGGAACCAGGTTTCCAGTGAGCAGAAGGAAGGCTAGCCACATTGTGTCCTCATACTCCACGTTTTCATAAAGGTCAAATGTCATTTGATGACAAGTATTTCTGGCAGGCTGAGCACACACTCTGTAGCACAGTCCTTGCTTAGGATGAACACAATTACATCTGTGGTTGGCACTGAGAAGACTCTGAAGTGTTGTTACCTGGAATATCACTATTTTTCCATCATCAGCCTGAAGGTAAAACGTCCAGGATGAGGTTATAAAGCTCTGTGCAGAGTCCATCATGTCACTCCAGAAGGACCTCACTAGAGTCAGGGGGAACAGCAGATGCATTTTTGGCATCAGAGACATGAGCTTTAAAAAAATATGAGAAATAGATTATTTAAGAGAATATATATATATATTTATTTGTTTAAGAGAAGATTGAGATTCATCAAATCTCTTACTGAGACACAATATACACAACTAAATGACTTGATCAGTTATCTGCATTAGCAAAAATTCTTTTTTTTAAAACATGCAGACAGTAATATAATCACACCTAAAATATTTAAAATAATTTCTTTTAAAGAGCAGAAAACAATATTTGAAAGGCTGAGTTACAAAGAGAGAGGCAGAAGCAGAGACAGACAGAACTTGCATCTGCTGATTCACTCTCCAGATGGTCACAACATCTGTGGCTAATGCCAGGAACTTCACCAAGTCTGCCCCATGGTGGCTGACGTCCAAGCACAGAGTAAATTCTTAATTTTCATGTAAATAACTATGGTAAGTTTAAAATCCAAGATTACTTCAATTTGCCACCAATAATACATATGTGCATGTTTGGACAGACATTAAAATACCTCTGTATTGGGAACTTAGCTATATAACTGGAAGGCAACTGAGTGGCTGAAAGACATGAAGCAGGGTGTGAGGGGAGGGGCACTACGACAGTGTCTGTGACTCTGGTATCCTATATGGGAGGTTGGTTGGGTCTCAGCTGTTCCACTTCCAATCCAGCTTCTTGCTAATGGCTGAGAAAGGTAGTGGAAAAAATGTTTGGGTCCCTGCCACTCACGTGGGAGACCCAGATCCAACTCCTGGCTTGCTTTGGCCTGGTATAGCAACAGCCACTGCGGCTCCTGGGAAGTGAACAGCACACGGAAGATCTCCCTCTGGTTTATGTTGTCCCCCCTCTCTCTAATTCTTTCAAATACAAAATAATTTTTCAAAAAAACCCTTAAGACACAGGGCAGAGGGGGAGATACTTTTTATGATATATTCTTTATGTTTTGAGTTTTATGCCATGTGAATATTTTCTCTAAATATTTAAACTTTTCTAAAAAAGTTTATTTACTTTTATTGGAAAGACAGATTTTTACAGAGAGAGGAGTTATAGAGAGTAAGAGCTTTCATCTGTTGGCTCACTCTCCAAATGGCTGCAACAGCTGGACTGAACCAAACTGAAGTCAGGGGCCAGAAGTCTCTTCCAGATCTCCCTCACAGGTGCAGGGTTCCAAGACTTTAGGATATCCTCTACTGCTTTCCCCGTCCACAAGCAGGGAGCTGGATGGGAAGTGGGGCAGCTGGGACATGAACTGGTGCTAGTTCCCACACACACAGTCCCAGTGTGTGCAAGGCAAGGATTTAGCCACTGGGCCATTGTGCCAGGCCCACATTCCAAATTTAAAACGTTTTTATACAATGTTTGTAGTGTGGAGGAATTTTAAGAGATGGCACAGAAGAGAAAAATCAATGGTGAGACGATCATGATAAGCTGTCTGGATTTCAACTTTTTTTTTTCTCAAAGATTTATTTTAACTGCCTGTAAAGGAGAGAGAAAGATAAGGAAATCTTTCAATTGCGAGGTCATGTCCCATATGGCCACCGCAGTCATGGTTGGGCCAAGAACCAGCAGTTTCATCCAGGTCTTCTACTTGGCTGGCAGGTGTGCAAGCACTTGGACCACACTCTGCTGCTTTCCCAGGGAGCTGAACTGGAAGTAGAGTAGCTGGGACACAAACCAGTGCCCATATGGGATGCCAATGTCCCAGGCAGCAGCTTAGTCTGCTAAGCCACAGCTTTAGTCCCTGGATTGAAACTGCTATGTAATTGTGAGCTTTTGAATCACATAAGACATGAGTATGAGGTAAAATTTAGGAGAAAAAAAAGGTCTGGAATCAGAGTACAGGATTAAGTTAGGGCAATGCAGCAAGGGTGGAGATAAAGGACCCTGAAATATCAATTTCTTGGAGTTTCAGGTTTTCATATGTAAAGTGAGGATAGTATCTTTTTTTTTTTTTAAGATTTAGTTTATTTTTATTGAAAGTCAGATATACAGAGAGGAGGAGAAACAGAGAGAAAGATCTTCTGTCCAATGATTCATTCCCCAAGTGAGAGCAACGCCAGTGCTATGCCGATTTGATGCCAGGAGCCAGGAATTTCCTCCAGGTCTCCCACACAGGTGCAGGGTCCCAAGGCTTTGAGCTATCCTCAACTGCTCTCCCACGCCACAGCAGGGAGCTGGATGGGAAGTGGAGCTGCCAGGATTAGAATCGGCACCCATATGAGATCCTAGCGCATTCAAGGCAAGGACTTTAGCCGCTACGCCACACTGCCAGGTCTGTAAAGTGGGTAAAGTATCTTCACTGAAGGGAAACAAAATGAGATTGTGGATGCATATATAATTTTCAACATTGAAGCATTATGCTAAAATAATTATTCAATTGACTTTTGTATTTGTTTTTTCTTTTTAAAGATTTATTTATTTTTATTACAAAGTCAGATATACAGAGAGAGGAGGAGAGACAGAGAGGAAGATTTTCTGTCTGATGATTCACTCCTCATGTGACCGCGATGGCCAGTGCTGTGCAGCCAGGAGCCAGGAACTTCCTCCAGGTCTCTCACGTGGGGTGCAGGATCCCAAAGCATTGGGCCTTCCTTGACTGCTGGAAGGGAGCTGGATAGAAAGTGGAGCTACCAGGATTAGAACCGGCACTGATATGGGATCCCGTAGCATTCAAGGCGAGGATTTTAGCCATTAGGCCACTGTGCCAGGTCCGACTTTTGTGTTTGTAGATACAATTTTGTTTGCTGAAAACCAACTATAGTGCCTGGCGTGCTGGCGCAACTGGCTAATCCTCCACCTCCAAGTGCTGGGATCCCATATGTCCCGTTGCTCCACTTCCCATCCAGTTCCCTGGAGGCCAGTTCAAAACCTTGGGATCATGTACCCATGTGGGAGACCCAGAAGAAGCTACAGCTTCGTATTGGCTCAGTTTCGGCCATTGTGGTCATTTGGGAAGTGAACCAGTGGATGGAAAATCTTTAGGTCTCTCCTTCTCTCTGTAAATCTGCTTTCTGATAAAAATTAGAAAATCTTAAATACACACACACACACACGTGTGTGAGTACACAAGTGCTAAATAGGATCAAGTGGGTGATAAAAACTTGAAGCGATATGAATCTGTGTCATCCAAGCAGGCAATTTTGAAAGAAAATATTGTTTCCTACTTGTTCTTGTCTCAATTCAGCAAATGGTAGCTGATTCTGGCAACCAAGATGGCAAGCATATTGTTCATCAGACTGGGAATATGCTTCTGTACATGCTGTGAAGAAAAAAAAGTCACATTACGAAAGGGGAGAGGGACAAAAGGATTAGAAAAGGGGTTTGACATTTTATAAACTAATTGTATTCAAAAAGCATTTCATCAATATGAATTTCATATATAAAGATGGCCAGTTTGAAGATGGAACAAAAAAAAAAGGTTGTATTACAGACTAGATGTGAGTCATGACATAGCAACAAGGAAAAGATTCTTCCTACTTCACTGAAAACACTGTCATACGTGGAGAAAACGCGAGTATAGTTTAAAAAGCTAAATATGCACTGTGTCCTGATTACAGGTTTCTTTTTAACAAGCCTGTCGCATTTAGCACAGGTAAGAATAGTGGTTTAACAGATGACAAAGCCTTTGGTTACTTCTTTTACTGGCATGGCCAACAAAGAACAATGCACTATTAAATACTGAGTCAAAGGCTTGATTCAGTAAAAAACCTTGGAGCTAAGTCAACTCAGCTATGACTGAAAGGCTTAGGAAAATTATACTACTTATGAAAAGGTAGGATGAATTATGAGTCGGGTAATCACCACTCTGTTTTCAATACAGAATGCTTGGTTAAACAAAGTTATTCTATCCATAGTGCAGAACAAACACTGTCTTAACAACATGAAACTTGAAGCTCCTTGAAATTTCTAGCACAGCTACTAAAACTCTAACTTCATAATAATTATAATACTGGATAAGTAGTATAAATAGCATGCTTGTTGTTTTATAAGAAAAATAAAAAGCTTAATACAATTCAAAGAAAACACCAATGTTCTATGTGGCTAATGTCATTAGCACAGCATCTCACCAGATTCACATTCCAACTTGGTCCGGTTTAAATCAATCCCATCATCCACGAACTGGCAGATGGAGAAGAGCCTGCAGCCTCTCTGACACGCGTACAACTCCTCTTCCTAGAAAAGCCAACAACAGGCACGATCACCAAAAAACAGTATTTTTTTCTTGGAAAAATCGTTGAAAAGAAAGCAAAGTTAGTACAGTTTATTTTAAACTGTAATCTTATAACTCAAAAAAATTACAGGAGTCAGGTAGAGCTCCAAACCTTTGTTATATATAGAGGTTTCAGTCTTTTATGCAAAGTGATATCAAGAAAAAAAAAAGCCTAGCAAGTAAAAACACCACTGTCTTCCCATACGCTGTGGTCCCAATTTGTGGGGGATACTGAAAATAAAAGTATCTGTGACATAATTAAGACTTTAACAAAGGTAGAAAGTTGTAATAAAGAATTTTAGGTGCCGAGAGCATCCTTCTGCCACAACCAAGCCTTCAGACTTATCAGGTAAGGACCACGACCAGCTTCGAATGGCGACACATAGGCCCTGACCATGTATACATGTATACAAATGTTCATATGGAGCTTTGCTGTAATTCACCTGAAAACAAAACAAGAGCAAGCAGGTGACACACAGGCAGTGCTACTATAACCAGCCAGGATCAAACCCCTCAGGTGACTTTGTGGGCTACTTTACCTATTGACTCTGTTAGCACGTCACAAGAGGAGAGAATACTCATTTCCTTCAAAACTTCCATAATTCTGGAAGACAGGTACTCTAGCACAGTGCTTAGGCACAGAACGTGCTCAATAACCAGTCATGATAATCATAACAGATTTTAAAACTGAGAACCATTGTGGGCATCGCTGCACCCATGTGGGAGATCCATTCAGGATGGACATACAGTTCTTCATTCCTGGGAAACAGTAACTGCTAACTAAGCCTAAAAATGGTATCTTCAACAGCTTTTTTTTAAAAAAAACACACACACATACACACACAGTGGGGCCCAGCACAGTTACCCAGTGGCTAAAGTTCTTGCCTTGCACATGCTGGGATCCCGTATGAGCTCAGGTTCATGTCCCAGCTGCTCCACTTCCCATCTAATTCCCTGCTTGTGGTCTTGCAAAGCAGTTGAGGATGGCCCAAAGCCTTGAGACCCTGCACCCACATGGGAGACTCGGAAGAAGCTCCTGGATCCTGGCTTCAGATTGGCTCAGCTCTGGGCCACTGCGGTCACTTGGGAAGTAAACCAGTGAATAGAAGATCTTTCTCTATATCTCTTTCTCTGTAAATCTGCCTTTCCAATAAAATTAAATCTTAAAAAAAAAATACACACAGTATTTGAAGCCAGCTAGCACATGGGGAAGCACCTCCCCTTACCGTGTGATATATACTGTGTATTAGCTGGCAGGCACTAACAAGGAAGCAGTATGTGCATATACCAGTTAGCAACCAGCATAATAAAGGCATGCATTTCTTTCTAGTAGAAGGGTAAATAAAATTTATACAGCATTAACAATTTCATAGGAAGAGAAGGTTGTGGTGCAATATTTTAAAGATAGCATATTTTGGACCTCAATGTTAACTACTTTAACTGTTAAGGTGAAACCGAAGGTATATTAAAATCAAGATAAACTTTACATCTGAGGACTTTTCTGCAGGCTTTGTATGGGAAGAATTCTCTTTGGAGTATCATTTATTTCCTAATATCGCACAGAGAAAGCATGAGCTTATCAACATGAACTAGACCACATGCCATTTTGCTCTCAGATACTTTGTTTTGTTGAAACAAGCCACTAAACCATCCAACACTATTTAAGAAAACCACAGGGTGTGTTCAGCTCCCTGCTAATGGCCTGGGAAAGCAACAGAGAATAGCCCGCATCCTTGGGTTCCTGCATGTCAGAGACCTAGTGGAAGCTCCTGGTTCCTGGCTTTGAACAGCTGTGGCCACAGCAGCCATTTGGGGAGTGAACCAACAAATGGAAGACTTCTCTCTCAGCAATTTTTTCAAGTAAAACAAATAAATTTTAAAAAAGAAAAAAAATTAGCCCTGGTTTGAGTTGTCTTATTACTTACTCTCTACAATTCTGGGCAGGTTACCAAATCTGAAATTTAGTTTCCTCATTTGTAAAAATTAAGATAATCCTCAAATCACTCTCGACTATTAGGAGGAATATACATTTTCTCTACATAGAATTACCATGGGTATTATTATTTAATGAACACCATATATGTGAGATACCATGCTAACACTTAACACCTTTTGCATTATCTGGCACAAGGTAGATATTCCACCAATAATTCTCAGGAATCAGACCCTTACTTCAAATATTTCATGTTCTATTTCATCACTTCAAGTCTAGTTAAGTATTTCACATGATGGCTCAGGCGATACAAAATATGTCCTCTGAGGGCAGGCCTTGTGCAAGTTAAGCCACCACCTGCAATGCTTGCAAGTGCCAGTTTGAACCTCAGCTTCGATTTGGATCTAGCTTCCTGCAAATGAGAAATCAGTATCTGCTGGCTCGGGTCCTTGGTGGCTGTCACCCACATGGCAGACCCAGAAGGACTTCCAGGCTCCTGGCTCAAGCCTGTTCCAGCCCTGCCTATTGCAGGCATTTGGAGAATGAACCAGCAGATGCAAGATCAATCTCTGTCACTCTTTCAAACAAAGAAAACTTTCTTTTTTAAAGTACCTGCTTTGCTTTAAGGCACAAGGAAATGATGCTTTCTGCTATAATGAATCCCAGTTAAATAATCAGAAAGTCCCTTCCCTTAATGATAACATTTAAAGCTTTTGTACACATTTTTGGGGGCAAGTGAATATTGAGGCAAAGTTTAACGAAGTACAACTAATACGGCAGGCACGTGAGAAGAGAACTGATAGACTATACGTATTTTATTTTTGTCAAAAATTCACTTTTATTTATTTGAAAGGCAGAGTCACAGAGACTAAGGGTCATACAGAAATATCTCACCCACTGGTTCACTCTTCAAATGGCCACAACTTGGTTGGGTTGAAGCCAGGGGCTTCTTCTAGGTCTCCTACCTGGGCGTAGGGGCCTAAGTACGTGGGCCATTTTCTTCCATTTCCCATTAGCAGGGAGCTGGAATGGAAGAGGAATAGCTGGGACTCAAACTGGCACTCACGTGAAATACTGGCATTGCAAATAATGCAACAGCCCCTATATGCCTTTAAAAAAATTTATGTATTTTTATTTGAAGGGCAGATTCAGAGAAACAGATCTGTTGTCAGCTGGTTCACTTCCTAAATGGTCACCAAAGCTAGGGTTTCTTGGAGCATGTCCCACATCCGGGATCTGGGGTGGGTGGGAAACTGGGTGGGTCTTCTCCCTTAATATCCCCTTTTAAACTGAAGGAAACAATATGGAAATAATAGTATTACCCACTCTCCTATAGCCCTTGAAACTTTTTACCCTAGTTAACTATGTAAAGTTGGCAAAAATATAAAAACACAAAAACAAACAAAAAACCCACAAAGCTAGGATTTCTTCCAGTCTCCTAGATGGGCCATCCTCTGCTGTCTTCCCAAACCACAAGCAGGGAGCTCGACTGAAAGAGGAGCTGGGACTAAAATCAGTACCCATATGGGATGCTGGTGCTGAAGGAGATAACTAGCCTTTTGAGCCACCACACAGGATGGGGAGGAGGGTATTATATGCATTTCTTATCATGAGCTAAATTAAACAAATTATTCTCTCATTATTCAATGCTACTAACACTATATACAGCAAACTGGGTTTTGTAATATATAACAGAAGAAATAATGATTGGTGACTGTGTCTTAGGGACTTTGTCAGGACTATCATATGTATTATCTTTAACTTTCACACTGGGTCTGCAAGATGTGAGGTTTTCTTTTTACCTACCAGTGACATGAATAAGTTATGATGGGTTGTTGTGCTGCCGCGGGTACATCAGGATCCCATATGATCACTGGTTTGAGTCCCTGCTACTATGCCTGGGAAAGCAGCAGAAGATGGCTAGAGTGCTTGAGCAGCCTTTGTCCCTCCCCCTGCCCCCAACCTGCCCCTGTGTGGGAGACCCAGATGGAGTCTCAAGTTCCTGGTTCTGTCTGGCTCACCCCCTGCCATGTGGCCATCTGAGGAGTGAACCAGGGGATGGAAGGCCTCTCTTTTCCTTCCTAATTATTTTATCTTAACTTTAAAGGCAGAAATACAGAAAGAAGGGGAAAGGAACATGGGGAGACAGGGAGAGAGGGAGGAAAAGAGAGAGAGTATCTTCCAATTGCCAGTTTGCTGGTTTACTCCCCATTTGACCACAAGTCACAGCTGGGCCAGGAGCCAGGAGTCTGGAGCTTCCTTCCTGGTCTCCCACACCGGTACAGGGTGCAAGCACTTGAACCATCTTTCACTGTCTTTCCAGGCACATGAGCTGGATCCAGCAGTCAGGTCTGGAACTGGCGTCCATATGGAATACCAGAACCACAGGAGGAGACATAGCCTACTCTGACCATGGCCCAAGACCCAAGTTTTCTTTTTTTCTGTAACTCTGATTTTCACATACATCAACTTTTTTTTAAAGATTTTATTTTATTTTCATCGGAAAGGTGGATATACAGAAAGGAGAGACAGAGAGGAAGATCTTCTGTCTGATGATTCACTCCCCAAGTGAGCACAACGGCTGATGCTATGCCGATCCGAAGCCAGGAGCCTCTTCCAGGTCTCCCACGTGGGTGCAGGGTCCCAAAGCTTTGGGCCATCCTCGATTGCCTTTCCGGGCCACAGGCAGGGAGTTGGATGGGAAGTGGGGCCGCCGGGATTAGAACCGGCGCGCATATAGGATCCCGGGCGTGCAAGGCGAGGACCTTAACCACTGTGCCATTGCGCCAGGCCCATACATCAACTTTTATAACAACCAGAAAAATTATTATGAGAAATTATTATCAAGAACATACAGGATGAGCGCAGCTGGAAATGGAATCAGGTTTGTATGGTTCTAGATCCCACACTCCAAAAAATCAACTAGGCTAGCTCTAATTAGCTTTTTTAATCACACAACATGTCACTTGTATTAGATCCCAGGCAAAGTATGCAATTGCATTTCTGAAGACATTTAAAAGATAAAAGAATTTTAAAGTAACTACTTACAAACAGGGAAAGTATTCTAGTTTCTTGCAATACAAAATTAATTCTGAAAAAGAGTCATTAAAATGAGATTTCTACCTGGCAATTACAAATATCAGACCAAGAGAGGCACTATGGACTTGTAAATTCCTCTAACTTGTTATTATACACGCTGCTTTTTCCTGGGCTGCAAAGCACAAAAATTACGGAAATAATGAAGAAAGTATTGTAACACAACTTCATTACGATGAGGCAGCAGTGTTTCTGTCAGTTTTAAGACTGGATTTCTGCCCCACCATGCCTTGTGGGTTACCTTCAGAGCTTGGCAAGGCTGCTGTGAGATTCAGAGATAATGACACGACAAACACTCTCTCACTAACAGATTTAAGTAGAGAATCAGTAAGTTTTAAGACCAGGACAGAGAGGGTGTCAGATGATTCCGAATTCCTGGTAAGAAAAGCTGGAATGAATAAGTAAAAATATTTATAGGTATCACAACAGTTGCAAGAAAACAACAAATATTATCAAAAGGTTCCAGGAAATGTAGAGTCTTTCAAGTAATTTAACTGTTCTCCCAGCATTATGATTCATACTATAAATTTGCTAGGAAAAAAAAATATCATTAAAAAAAGTAACAGATGGGCCTGGCACCATGGCCTAGCTATTAAAGTCCTTGCCTTGAATGGCGCCAGGATCCCATATGGGAGCCAGTTCTAATCCAGGCAGCCCCACTTCCCATCCAACTCCCTGCTTGCGGCCTGGGAAAGCAGTCAAGGAAGGCCCAAAGCCTTGGGACCCTGCACCTGCATGGGAGACCTGGAAGAGCTCCTGGTTCCTGGCTTCAGATTGGTGCAGCACGGGCTGTTGTGGTCACTTGGGGAGTGATTCAATGGATGGAAGATATTTCTGTCCCTCCTCTCTCTATATATATGGCTTTGCAATGAAAATAAATTTTTAAGAAAGTAACAAATGTTAGGAAAACGAAAAATTAAGCCTCAATCCAACTCTCGAGCAAATCAATATTAATGATGTAAGTTTCTTTAAAAAAAAAAACTACAATGCACTTCAGGGGCAATTCTCGTTCAGTCTGAACGATACAACTTATTCTCTCCTGACTCACATAACAGTCTTTGGCAGGGAGAAATGTGGGATAATCCTCATGCAATATGAAATCGAGTGTTAAGCAAAGCAGGGGGAGTGAGAGCATTTGGAACTTCGCAATCAGAGCTTCCGAAAGCAGGCGGCACCACGCTGCTGAATCAACCTCGCTCCAAGCGCCTTCTTAGCCCCTTGCTACTTGGCGAGGGCAGAGGCCCGGCTAAAGCTTAAGCGAAAACCAAGCACCATCAGCAAAAGCTTGTATACGCAAAGGGTGTGTGTGCGGACCCACTCAAATTATATATGGGGAAGGTGTGGGGAGAGTCACAGGGCAATTTAGAAATGTTGAGTAAACATTTCTAGCGAAGCTGAAGAAAACGCCTCCAGAAGGGGGCGAGGAAGGGCGTGTGTAACCGCAGGAAAGGCAGCAGCTTGGCCGGAGGTCGGGGACCGGCCCCTTGCCCCTCTCCCAAGGATGAGAAGCCCTTTCCGGAGGCAGTTATCCCACCAAATTCCCTGCCAACCGGCACTGAATGCAAAGTTCAGAAACCTCGCGGGGGTGGTGGTAGGGCAGCGTCTCCTGCACAGTAAGTCAACAGGGCGGAGAGAGCCCTGCAGGGCGCCTCCCGAGTCCCGGGCCGACGGCTGGACCCGGCTGCTGCGACGTGGAACCCGGACTCCCGGACCCGCTGCGCTCAGTGCACAGCGCCCCACCCCTGCCTGCTCCGGCTCCCGGAGGAACGCGAGCCGTCCCCTCGCCTATCCCTAACTTCCCGTAATTACAGCAGGAACCGGGCGCAGACAGGCTGGCGGAGGGAGAGCGCAGCCGCCCCTGTGGGAGGCCGCATTGTGGGGTGCACTCCACCGCCGGGGTCCCACAGCCCACGCGTAAGCAACGCAGCAAGGGGCGAACAGCAAAGGGTCGTGGCCCGGTTCGGACGGGCCCTACCTTGGGGTAGGTGTGCAGGGGGTAGGTCAGCTGACAGGCTTGGTGGCAAGACGCCGTATCGCCCAAGACCGAATCAAACGCTTCAGCCGAAGCGGTGCCCGAGCCTCCGGCCAGGGTCATGGTGAGGAGAAGCAGCGACAGGAGCCCCCGTTGGGCCCGGACCCAGAGGCTCCCCTTCGGCGCCGCCATTTTCTTCCCCTCAGTCCCAGCGGCTCGGCTTGTTGCTGTTTTCTTTTTAGGGTCTCCTCCTCCTTCCGGGGCCGGCCCCCTTCCCCGCCTTGCCGACCGCCTCTTCCGCCTCCGCCGTCGCCGCAGCTCCTCCCCGACCCGCCCAAACCGCAGCCTCTTGCTCCCACCTTTGCGATGACGAACTTTCTGAGACGGCGTGCAGAGGTGGCGCCAACCATCGCGCGTGTTGGCGCGCCCGGGGCAGGCTGGGGCGGGTAGTTCTCGGCGGCGAAAAGCGCTCTCGGAGAACTACAGCCGCGCGTCGCATCGCGGTGCCTGCCGGGACAGTAGTCTCCGTTTGGGGAGCTTCCTCCGAGGAAGCGCGGCCGGGCCCGGGGGCGTCGCTTCGTTGTCTGTGCCGGTGTGGGGCCTTGGTGTCTCAGAGAGTGCGCTCTGAAGAGCTGCTGTCCCGGGTGGGTGTCCTTGCCCCACTACTATTGGATGTCCGTTTGGGTCCCTGTATTTCTCTTCGCTTAGGGGTCCCAGGCTTGACCGTTGGGGTTAGGCTGTTCTGAGCACTGGGCAGTTGGTCCTGGAGATGGCCTTGGGCCAAGGAATGGTAGTTGATAGTGTTGGTCCCCAGGGCAACCCTTGAGATCTGGGGCGGTGGTGAGGAGGGCTTAATGAGCCTGGAGGGACCCTGTTGCCATTTCACAGCCCAGCCCTAGTTGGAAAAAGGTTATCTCCAGGTTGGATGCCTGGCCCGATGTTGGAAACCAGGAACCTCCAGCTCAGGGAGACTGAGCACTTGGGCACACAGTGTGATTTCCTGGCCAGAGCGCTCTTTCTGTCAGTTCCATGATTGGGAGACCCCAGTCTTGTCACGTTGGGGGATGCACATCCTAACAATCTCAGCAAAGGTTTAGAATCTGCCCTCTTTCTTGAGCAGAATACGCTTGTGAGCACGCGAAGGTAGTTGGAGTCCCCTGAAATGGATAAATTCGTCATTCGAACGCCCAGAGCTCAGACTAGCCCAAAGAAGAAAAATGCTGGAGGGAAGATATACAAGCAGGCCACGATTGAATCCCTGAAGGTGAGAGGGGGGGCTGAGACTAGGGGAAGTACGTGAAGGACTGTGTAGCCAGGAGAGATTGGGGAGTTCTCTGGTTTGAGATTCTGCCCCTTGCTCCCTCCTTCCCCTACGTGCCCCATTCCTGACGTCTGGGTGTCACATTTTAGACCTTTGCTGCACTCTTGTAATTGATCGGACTTTATGCTGTGTTTGCTACCTGTTAAGACAAGCTCCTGAAGTTATTTTGCAAAAATCTCTTGTCTGTTAGGAATGTTGTAGTGCCAGATAGGATTCTCTATACCCTATGTAAGCTTGGCAGGTGTGAAATGCAGTGCCCCACAGCATTCTGGTATGTTCCTGGCTGGGATGGGAGGGTCACATGGACTCCGCAGCTATAGCCGAGACTGGGAACAGACTTGATGGACTCTTCACTATCTCACATCCAGTTCGGATCTCTGTGAGCAAGAGAGATCCTCCTGCATTTCCGACTTGTTTTTCATTTCCTTTGTTGGTGCCTTGATTGCTATTAGACATATCTATTCACCAGAGCTCTGTGTGTGTTTTATGTGTTTGGTGAGAGTAATCTCACCCAACTCAAGGTTTTCTTTTTTTTTTTTTTAAGATTTATTTATTTATTGGAAAGTCAGATATACAGAGAGGAGAAGAGACAGAGAGGAAGATCTTCCGTCCAATGATTCACTCCCCAAGTGAGTGCAACGGCCGATGGTATGCCAATCCAAAGCCATGATCCAGGAACTTCTTCCTGATATCCCACACGGGTGCAGGGTCCCAAGGCTTTGGGCCGTCCTCAACTGCTTTCCCAGGCCACAAGCAGGGAGCTGGATGGGAAGTGGAGCTGCTGGGATTAGCACCGGCGCCCATATGGGATCCCGGGGTGTTCAAGGCGAGGACTTAAGCTGCTAGGCCACACAGCCGGGCGCATAACTCAAGGTTTTCTATGCTGATGAGGTTCAGATTACATCTCCAGTCTAGAAATCTATAAAGAGCAAATGGGAGGCTGTGCTGGAGAAGAGAATTGTGGCAAAGGGGCCCTCCCACCCCCAGCTAGGGGCCATTTTGTTCAGTAGTGTGGTCGATTTTTGCCTTCTCTGGGATGTGAGCTTCTTCATCCGTGTGATGTGCAGTTTGGTTAGTCTTTCCTCAATGGGCCCTATTGTTGCTTGTGCAGGATATAGAGCAACTTCAGCAAGTTGGTGGAAGTTTATTTCAGTGAAAATAATCTTGAAATTCATGCATAGTTTTCATAATTTTTTTTCTGTGAACTTTTTTTTTAAAGGATTGATTTTATTTATTTGAAAGGCAGAGTTGCTGAGAAAGACAGACCCATGTGGCATGAACAGGGTTGGAGAGGGAGGCAGTGTGCCATTAAGAAAATGAGAAAGGCCGCAGAGATGCAAGGTAGAGATTAAGAAAAACAGGTGGCCAAAGGTTTCACTTCTTCAAAGGAGAAAGGAACTCACAAGCTGACTGCATCAGATTTTTTTTTTTTTTTTAACATTTAGCCATCTTCCTAATGCTACAGAAAACTTCTGGATTCTTTTTGCCATTATAACTATGATAATTTGCGTATGAGGTCTTGTTCATGTTTTTGGATTCTTTTTGGTTTGTTTTGTTTTTAAAGATTTGTTTATTTTTATTACAAAGTCAGATATACAGAGAGGAAGAGAGACAGAGAGGAAGATCTTCTGTCTGATGATTCACTCCCCAAGTGAGCGCAATGGCCGGTGCTGCGCCGATCCAGAGCTAGGAGCCAGGAACTTCCTCCAGGTCTCCCACACGGGTGCAAGGTCTCAAGGTTTTGGGCTGTCTTTGACTGCTTTTCTTTTTTTCTCTCTCTCTTTTTTTTTTATTTTGACAATCCTTACATATTTAATTGGGGTAAAAAAGGTTCAAGGCCTAAAGGGGGATATAGAGGAAGAAGCCCCACCTAGTTTCCCACCCACCCTAAGTCCCGGATGTGGGGCATGCTCTGAGATACTCGATCAAGTGGTTCCAATAGTTCACCATTCATGGGTTGCTGCCAGTCTCGCCACTCCAAGCACGATGTGGTCGTTGAATAGTCCATTGATTGACACAGTCCCTTCTAGAGTCTCCATTTGCCCAGTTTTTTGCTGCCAACAGATAGCTGAGGTTGTTGCTTGACTTGTTCTGTCTTTTCTTGGTTACGACTCTGAGTCCGGTGTCTCGACTGGGGAGATCCTCAAAGAAATTTTGAGGTATTCCCAGTCCAGATTCCTGCGTGTTCTAGTAAGCATAGGGCCCGGCACAGTCCATTGCCCCATCAGGTGGTGGTTGCAGTTGCTGGGTTGGTTCTGTCTCCACCTGTGTCCTCTTGTAGTCTGGCCTGGTTACGCCCTGGACACACTTGGCCCTCGCACGTACCCGTAGGAGCTGCAGCCCAGTCAGGGCAGCCCACAGTAACCCCAACCAGGCCCACCCCCTACCCTGGCTTGCCAATATGTATGGCATACTAGTCCAGTCTGTCCCAAATACCCTTCTGTTCATATACTTGACTGCTTTTCTAGGCCACAAGCAGGGAGCTGGATGGGAAGCTGAGCTGCCGAGATTAGAACCGGCGTCCAGATGGGCTCCTGGTGCGTTCAAGGCGAGGACTTTAATAGCTAGGCCATGCCGCCGGGCCCTGCATCAGTGTTTTTATTTAACTGCTTTGGGAGTGAAAAGACAGGAATTGATGTGGCACAAACTTTGGTAGCCACGCTCCATATTCATGTTAACCAGCCAGTGCTTGAAGCTCAAAGTGACTAGAGTCACCTGTAGAAGTCAGTCCCAAGGATATTCTTTTTTCTTTTTTTTAAACATATATTTATTTTTATTGGAAAGTCAGATTTACAGAGAGAAGGAGAGACAGAGAAAAAAATCTTTCATCACCTGGTTTACTCCCCAAGTGGCTGTAATGGTTGGAGCTGACCTGATCTGAAGCCAGGAGCTGGGAGCTTCTTTCAGGTATTCCATGCTCTAACTGCCTTCCCAGGCAAGAAACAGGGAGCTGGAAGGGAAGAGGAGCAGCCAGGATATGAACCGATGCCCATATGGGATCCTGGTACATACAAGGTGAGGACCTTAGCCACTGAGGTACCATGCAAGACCCCCAATGATACGCTTAAAGCACACAGTCGTGTGATTGGACCATTATCCAACTACAAACCACCGTCCATAGACCTGGACATGGTCCATCTGCAGACCATTGCCTGCAAGCTTTGACCTTGGTCTCTAGTACCAGGAGTCTATTTATTTTTATTGGAAAGTCAAATATATAGAGAGGAGGAGAGACAGAGAGGAATATCTTCCATCCATTGATATACTCCCCAAGTGACCACAATGGCAGAAACTGAGCCAATGTGAAAGCCGGGAACCAGGAATCTCTTCCAGGACTCCCATGCGGATGCAGGGTCCCAAAGCTTTGGACCATCCTCAGCTGCCTTCCCAGGCCACAAGCAGGGAGCTGGATGGGAAGTGGAGCTGCCGGGATTAGATCTGGTGCCCATATAGGATCCTGGCAAGTGCAAAGTAAGGACTTTAGCTGCTAGGCTACCACTCCAGGCCTGAATGTAGCTGTTTTTTTAAGCTTCCTTCAGTGTTTCATCCACTGGTTCACTCCCCAAATGCTCACAATGGCTGGAGCTGGGCCAGGCCAAAGTAAGGAGCTGGGAGCTTCTGATGGGTTGGTCATGAGGGCACAGGAACCCAAGCATTTGGGCTATCTTCCATTGCTTTCCCAGGGATGTTAGTAGGAAGCTGGGTGGGAAATAGAGCAGCTGAGACTCAAACTGGATGCCAGCTCCCCATCCAGAGGCTTAACTTGCTATGCCACAATGTCAGCCCTTATGTGGTCTCCTTATAAAGCCATCATGATTCCATAATGGGGTTCTACCTCCACAAAATAAATCAATCACTTCCTGAAGGTCCCACCTTCAGACACCATAACTGTATCAAACCTTCACTCTAACTCATTAAGCATTAACAGTAATTC